TGGCCTCCTGGGAGCTTCTCCAGTCTCAGGCACGTGGTGCGTTATGGTGGCACGTGCACAGGTGCGGTTCCTGCCTGGCCTGGCAGTGACCCGGGAGGCCTGGAGGCTGAGCCTCCTCCTCAGCCTTCCACTCCTCAGCTCCTGACCTGCTGAGGGAGGGTGAAGTGCTCCTGGGGAGGGAGCTCTTGTTTGTGCCTGGTCTGCCTCAGAAGGTGCTGGAGCCGCTGAGGAGCGTCTTTCTACTGGAGCCGGCGTCGCGGAGGAGACTCCCCGTTGCAGTTGTGCTGTAAACGTCCTGTGGCTGGTCACCGTGCTTTTCCTTCCAGCCTCTGCATCTGAGGTGTTGGCTGTGCGGTGTGCCCTGGGGCTCTGGGAGCCTGTCACCACGGTTGCACCGAGGTGACAGGGCTTTGCCGTGCTGGTGCCCAGGCTCTGCGTGCCTGGGGGGAAGCTGTCAGTTGGAACATGGGCCCATAAGTTCATCTTGGATCCACCGAGTTTCAAGAGTGTCAGGTCGCTTCATCCGTGTGGTCTGGGCAGCGAGAAGGGAAGCAGGCCCGGCTGCGGCATGCGATGGCTGGCCCGCGGGGCAGGGCTGCGAGTGGCTGGCCTGCGAGGCAGGGCTGCGGGGAGCGAGCACTTCTTAGTGCTGTGGCATTTCACCTTCGCCTTTTCTGTTTGGTCCTCCCTCTGCCTCTCCTCTACTGCATTGTCATGTATTATTTTATGTAGCAAAGATACATTTTTCTTAATAAGCATTTTCTTTTCCCCATTTTTTATAAGTGTGATGGAATTACCCAACTTCTTAAAAATGAAATACATTAGTTTGAAAATTACACAAAGCATTTTTAAAAAGTATTTTCACACCGTTCATCCCCTCGCCAGAGAAACTCATGCCCACAGAGCAAGAAGTCCACTGGAAATCTATTTTAACTCTCTAATCGGCAAGTCATTTTTATGCCAAAACAATTAAATTACAGCCTCTTCAGCAAGTTCCCAGCATGAGCCTTGGAAAGTTTGTAAGGCATCTTACAATGAAACCAAAAAGAGTTCTTTCCCGTGAGCCCTGTGCTTGACATGGTCTCGTTCTTGACGTGGCTCTGTGCCTGGCGTGGCCCTGTGCCTGGTGTGGCCCGTGCCTGGCGTGGCCCGTGCCTGGCGTGGCCCTGTGCTTGTGCGCACGTGGGCAGCAGCCTCTGCGGATGCATGTGCCCTGCTGTCCTGCTCACACTTGCGTGGCTGTGGGCTTGTGCTCCGGTCTGGTTTGGGTTGCTGGCCGCGTGGACTAGTTGTAGAAGGTTTGCAGCTGCAGGCCAGCGTGTCTTAGGGAACCCTGGCGAGCAGCTCATGTTGGGCCTGATGGTTTGAGAGGCAGCAGTTGGTGGGGGAGACCTGAGTCGTGCCCTCTTCGCCACAAGGGGCTGCTGTGTGAGCCCCTGGCCCTGAGGGAATAGGCAGAGCTGCTGCAGACCCTCCTGGCCCACTCGGGCTGGGGCCTCGGAGGGCCAGCCAACTGGAATGGGACAGGCATGCCCTTCCAGTGGGTGGCCACCCATGTCATGTCCTTCAGATGGAAGTTCTCAGGACTGCATTCTTGCTCCTTTTTATTTGGAAGCCATGCCCTGGTCTAGGTAAAAATTTTTTGCCTGAAGCCAAAAGAAAAAAGAGCTTGGAGATCTTGATCTGGCCCTGAGTCACCTGAGGAGGGTCGCCTGCGGGAATTGGTTTCTGGCTGTTTCTTGTCCCTGGTACTGGGCCCCTGAGTGGACGCAGCCTGGTTCACACCAGATTTCCTTACCTTAGCAGGAGGGAGTTTGGGATCGAGCTGTTGCTACGCTCTGCACTTCTCCATTAAGCATTTCTGGTTTTTTCCCTGTAGATGATTTTAAGTGCTTTACAAACTCCTCTGCTGTGACCTCACAGGGGTTTATAGCAGGGCTTGTTCTTGAAAGATGGGGGTGGGAAGAAAGAAAGTAGAGAACCGAGCAGAAGAGGGCTGTGCGTGCGTGGGGCCCAGGCCTCCTGTGGGCGTTTCCTGGTGAGTCACGGGGTCCTGCTGGAGTTTGGGCAGAGCTTTAGGCTAGTTTGGGGGAGATCTAATGGACACAGAAACTCTTCCAGGCTCTGGGTGGGGAGGGCAGGTGTCCAGCTCTAGCTGGGTCCATCCAGGCTGTCCTGAGGAAAGGGACAGGGAGTCTAGGGAACGGAGATGACAGCACGGGGCCTTCTCCTGAGGGCCCTGGGGAAGGATGGCAGCAGTGCACTCATCCTGTGGCCCAGCTGGGGACCTGGCCAAGGCAGCGGAGCTCAGGCCGTGTGGGACAGGCCTGTGGCCCACTTCTTGAGCAGGCCTGTGGGCGGCAGGGCAGGTGGAGGGGCCTGCTGGGCTCCAGGGCCTGGTGGAGTCTGTGTCCTCCCCTGGACCTGAGCAGGGCACTGCCAGCAGGTGTAGTGGGTTTTGCAAGAGGGGTGCGTGCAGGGCTGTCGGTGCATGTGATGACCTGAGAGACAGAATGGGCCGAGTGTGTGCACGACCCTCTGTCCCATGAAATGTGCCAGTTAGTGGGGTCCTGGGGTGGAGCATGGCTGAGTAACTGCGATGCGGAGCTGGGTCTCCAAGGCCACCCAGTACCTGCCGCTCTGTGCCCTGGAAAGGCAGAGCAGATTGTAGAGGGCCCCCCTGGGCGATGATCCCTGCAAGTCTGCACCTGAAAGAGTCGCTTTGATTTCCACATGCACTGGGGCTGCTGCTCAGGACCCCTGCCCAGTCCAGGCCTTGTACTCTGGTGCTGGCTTGTGCAGTTCCAGAGGATCCGAGAATGCACCGACTAATGTCCTCTGTGGACAGACATTAGTGGTGCAGCAGAGACTACAAAATTACTCCGGAGTCACCCGGGCTTCAGGTTATTTTTTTCTCCATAAATTTATTTCTATATAGTTTTTTAAATGTGTAAGATTTTTTATACTGAATTTGGTCAGTAAGTTACATAGAAATAATACATTCAATTCATAATTATATGTATTATGTCTAATCAGCATTTTGGGAGGGTAGTCAAATGAAGTGGGGCTTCATGAAAATCATTTGCCTTAATAAATCATCATGAAAAATTAAGAAGCCACGCAGAACTTATGTCACGATCTAAAAGTTTGACAAGTACTTTAACTTAGTGTCTACTGAGTTGCTGTTGAGACAGGGTCGTGGTACCCGTGTGTTTTCCTGGTATTAGGACTTTTGCCTTTTGCTCTGCTATTGGGGTCACTGACTCCGCGGCCTTCTGCTGTTGAAGGGCGACTGCTGGTGCATCCTGGTGTAGTGAGTCCTGTGTGCCTGTTTTCGGATCTGCTACTCACACCTTGTGTTTTTCCTTGGGTACCTTGGCACCTGGTTGGGGGGCTTTCTTGAGACACTGAGGTCTGTGATTCTCAGTAAGATTTCCACCTGTGCCTGTCTGTGGGCAGAGGCTGGCGTGTAGCATCTGTGCCCTCGTGGGTGGACAGATGTGCTGTCTTCAGAATCCCTGCTCCCTGGAGAATGTTTTGGGGTGCTCCTGTCACAACCACTGATGTTTAGCATGATCACCAGTATTCCTTTCTGCCTCTGTTTCAGTGAACATGTTGGGTTGGAATGGACAGGGTGACCTGGGACTCACTGCCTGCGGTTCAGTGGGATGAGAGCTCCGTCTTTGATGGACTTAGGTGTGGGTACACTGATGTGTCCAGTCCTGCACCTTCTGTGAAATGTACATGTGGGTTCTTAGTGCACACGAGGCTGCACCCCTGTGTTGCCCGTTCTGCACTGGACACAGCAGGTGGGCCGCCAGGATGGGCTGGCCTTGCCTGTGCATCTAGGGCTCAGGGCAGAATCTTCCCCTCTTGCTTGGCAGGCAGATGGCATGGCAGTGGCAGCGACCACCAGGTGGGATGGTGTGTGCCGTCATCAGGATTCTGGTTCCACCTCTGGAAGCAGCCCAGCTTCCCTGGGTGGGCGCTGGGGGAATCTGGCATGGTCCAGAGGGACTCTGCCCTGGGATTGTGACACGGTCCTGTGGCCGGAGCCTGGGGCTCCCTTTGTGAGTGTGTGAGCAGGGGTCTAGGAGGGAAGGGTGCCATAGGCCAGGCCAGAGAGGCGTGGTAGCTGAGGTGTGGGTGAGCTCTGGCCAGCACCCATGCGAGAGTGGTGCGACCGCGTAACCGGGCAGGGTGGCCTCAGCTCTGGTCCTGGGTAGCGGCTGCACCTGGGAGCTCAGGGGCTATTCCTGTGTCAGGTCCTCGCTCCCTGGTCAGCCACCTTTCTTCCCAGCAGAGGCTACTGCTTGACATCTGAGTGGCATGTCGGTAAAGTGCTGCCTGCAGCCTCTGCGGCTCACATCAGGGCCAGGTTCCTTCCCGCCTTCTCCCTGCCTCGGTTTCTCTGCCCTCCTTGTTGAGTAGCCTGTGCCTCTTGTGGTCTACACACACTCTTCCCGCAGGCTTTCCTTAGAGACTTGGGATCTTTTTTGGGAAAAAAAAATTATAGTTACTTACTTGAATTGCCTAACATAATGAATTACCAATAGTTGCTTAATTAGTGTTTTTTTTTTTTTGACGGTACTGGGACCTCACCTGGGCTAGGCAAGTGCTGGACCATTGAGCTGCACCCCAGGGTCTCACCAGGTTGCTCTACTGTACTTACTGATTTTTAAGGAGGCAGAGAGCACCATGTTCATGGATCTGAATTCTCGTCGGTGTCCGTCTCCTTGATTCAGAGAGGCCCGTGCTTCCGCGGTTGGCCCTGTGACGCTCTGCTCGCCCGCTGCCGCAGGAGCTTTGCTCATGCAGTCTCTGTCTCTTCCAGGTGCTTGCTGTGAGGGCCTCCTTCTCCGCCTGCTCGTGCACTGCCTCCTCGCGGGCCCCTCCCTCGTTGCTGGGCAGCAGCAGCCTCTCTGAGGATGGAGAGGTAAGACGTCCCTTCGGGCCTGCGCCACTGACAGCCGCTCCGCCACCACGCCCCCCTCCTCCCCATGGATCGCAGCAGAGAGGCCGAGATGGAGCTGAGGAGAGGGCCCAGCCCTCCCAGGACCAGCCGGAGCCAGGAGGTGGACGGGGACAGGGCCGCCTGCCATAGCTGCTGCATCTGTGGCAAGAGCTTCCCCTTCCAGAGCTCGCTGTCGCAGCACATGCGCAAGCACACGGGGGAGAAGCCCTACAAGTGCCCCTACTGTGACCACAGGGCCTCCCAGAAGGGCAACCTCAAGATTCACATCCGCAGTCACCGCACGGGGACTCTGATTCAGGGACATGAGCCAGAGGCAGGCGAGACACAGCTGGGCGAGATGCGCGTGTCCGAGGGCCTGGACGGGTGCGCCAGCCCCACCAGAAGCACCTCAGCCTGCAATCGGATGCTGAATGGGGCCGTGCAGGTGGATAGCAGCAAGATCCTGCTGCGGAGCAGCCGGAAGGAGGCCGAGGGGACAGCCAGTGCCCCGGAGGAGGCTGAGGCCGTGGCCCAGTGCTCCTTCTGCAAGAGCCAGTTTGAGCGTCAGAAGGACCTGGAGCTGCACGTGCACCAGGCCCACAAGCCCTTCAAGTGCAGGCTGTGCAGCTACGTGACCTCGCGGGAGGAGTCGCTGCTGAGCCACATCGAGAGGGACCACATCACCGCGCAGGGCCCCAGTGGCAGCGAGGCCTGCGTGGAGAACGGCAAGCCCGAGCTGAGCCCCGGGGAGTTCCCCTGTGAGGTGTGCGGCCAGGCCTTCAGCCAGACCTGGTTCCTGAAGGCGCACATGAAGAAGCACCGGGGCTCCTTCGACCACGGCTGCCACATCTGTGGTCGGAGGTTCAAAGAGCCGTGGTTCCTTAAGAACCACATGAAGGCTCATGGCCCCAAGACTGGGAGCAAGAACAGGCCCAAGAGCGAGCTGGACCCCATTGCCACTATCAACAACGTGGTCCAGGAGGAGGTCATTGTCGCCGGCCTGTCCCTCTATGAAGTCTGCACCAAGTGTGGAAATCTGTTTACAAACCTGGACAGCTTGAACGCCCATAACGCCATACACCGCCAGGTTGAAGCCAGCCGGATGCGAGCCTTGGCCGAGGAGGGGGCTGCAGAGGGCCCCCCGGACACCAAGCAGTTCTTCCTACAGTGCCTGAATCTGCGACCAGCCCTGGCTGGTGACATGTCCCCTAGCGGGCAGGCTGGAAGACGGGTGGCTGAGCTGGACCCCGTCAACAGCTACCAGGCATGGCAGCTGGCCACCAGGGGCAAGGTGGCTGAGCCAGCAGAGTACCTCAAGTATGGGGCCTGGGACGAGGCACTGGCGGGGGACGTGGCCTTTGACAAGGACAGGCGTGAGTATATCCTGGTGAGCCAGGAGAAGCGCAAGCGTGAGCAGGATGCTCCGGCCACACAAGGCCCCCCCAGGAAGAGGGCCAGCATGCCTGGCGACCCCGTGCTTTCCAGCCACCTCGACCCCCGGCCAGCGGCACGCCCCAGCCGCCGGGCCACGGCCACTGCTGGCCAAGGCAAGTCCTCGGAGTGCTTTGAGTGTGGCAAGATCTTCCGAACATACCACCAGATGGTGCTGCACTCGCGTGTGCACCGCCGTGCTCGCCGCGACAGGGGAGCCGACGGGGACAGGGCGGCACGCGCCCGCTGTGGCTCCCTCAGTGAGGGCGACTCGGCCTCCCAGCCCAGCAGCCCCGGCTCGGCCTGCGCCACTGCCGACTCCCCAGGCTCCGGGCTGGCAGACGAGGCAGCAGAGGACAGCGGGGAAGACGCTGCGCCTGAGTCTGCAGCAGGTGAGTGAGCACACCCAGGGACCAGGCGCAGGTGGGCCAGCCTCAGGCAGCCCTGCCCCAGGGGCCTGAGCCCAGGTGGCCCCATGCTCAGGGGCCCCTGTGTCTGGGAACCTCATGCCCAGGGATCCCTGCCAGATAGCTCCTGTCCAGAGTCCCGTGTTGGGGTGGCCACGTGCCCAGGTGTCCTGCCCCTAGTGTGTACCTGCAGCTTGAGCTGGCAGATGCAGACACAGGCACCTGTCAGCTCCACCACCGCAACTTTCACTGCTTGTCCTACCGTGCTTTCACAAAGCATGGACACCTGGGCTTCGAGAGTGGACGGTCTTTCTGGGCGTGAGTAGTTTCTAAGCAAGGAACGTAGTCCTGGTGCTCCCAAGATGTGCTTCTCTTTCCCCTTTTCCCTCAGGTCCGTACAGCACATACACAGGCACGCACTGTGCACATAAATAGGTGTGCAACACACACACACACACGCACTTTCCTTCACTCTTCTCTCTCAACACCAACAGCTGGGCCTAAGTTAACTTGAGTCTGTGTGCGGAGGTGATTAGCCTCCTCAGGTTCAGGTCGACCTATGGGTGTAGACAGTTAATTGGAACAGGTTACTTCCCAAGCAGTCTTCACGTAGAGATTGAAAGTTGCTTGGTCAACTTTGTTTTCACAATTGTCTACTTTTTATAAATTCTGAACATTTTGATATTCCCTTTGCTGTTTTCTGCCTGGTGTATTTGTTAACCAAAGGGGACAGCACAGTTACGGAACTTAGAAGTCTTCCATGGAGACAGGGCTGTTTCTGTCTTCTGCCTGTAACCCTGCTTGTTGGTGTTGCTTTTACCTGAAGTTCGAGGATGGTAGAAGTTGGGGCAGAACTGTTGAATTCTGTAGTGAGGACGAGGTGTCGTTCTTTGGGATTAATCAGGAAGCCCTGCCGGCTTCCCTTCTTGGGGGTCGGGCAGGTCAGTCCTTGAGGGTCTGTGTGGTGTGCTGTGTGTGGTCTGCTACACCCAGAGGCATAGAGACTGCAGCTCTTGGGCAGCAGGGCTTTTCCTGGCCCTGTGAGCCCGGGGTGAGCTCCACACATTGCATGCAGAGGTGCACCCTTAAGCACCTCCACCGTGTCCCACCCGTCACTCGGTGCCCACCGGGCAGAGCAGCAGAACGTGTGCCCTCTCGGGCAGGGTGTGCTGGGGCTCGCTCCCCATGCTCTGGACCTGACTGCCCAGGTGAAACCCTGGTTGGCTGTCGTGAGGTTCAATTCCTGGTTTCCTTCTCTCAGTTTTATAGCTCTGGCTCATTTTTACTGGCTGTGTTCTAATAACTCTGACCACTCTGTGGAGTGCTCACTGGTGAAATATTAGGCACGTCCTGTGTCTTTTAATTTTGACTTTGAAGAGAACATTTTTTCTGTTTGGTAGGGCTGTCACCATTGTGACAGCAGGCAGGTGACTTGTGAGTGGGTCCACTGAGCCTTGGTAGTTGAGAGTCTGGGAGCATTAAGTCATTTTCACCATGAAGTAGAGCTTATTCTGTTTTTTTCTTCTTGGGTTTGTTAAATTTTGGAAGCGTGTTACTTCTTATAGGCACTGTATATATTTTTTCTTTTATTAGAGAAATTCACATATATTTCACATGATTCTATGACAAGATATATATTAATATCTACTTGAATTTAATGCAAATTGGCCACAAAAGAAATAGGATGTTGGAAAGTAGCCTGAAGCCATGCAGAGCCGGGCCCACGAGGTCACCCCTGTGATCCCAGGGAGCTTCTTCCTGCAGGTGCGGACCCTTCCCTCATAGCTGGAGGGGTGGGGTCTGAGGTAGCATTGGGTGACCAGGTGACGGCTGTTCCTAAGGAGAGAGACCACAGCACATCCATTCAGCTGCTCTCAGCCTGGGCCTGTGGGGTCTGGGCCAGGCCCTTGGAGCAGCTGATTTTGAACAGAGACCAGGTGTCTTGAATGCTGTGTTCTGGTTGGCGTTGTGCCTTAAAGCTTGCACATAGCTTTGTAGACTGAGGCCATTTTATATTCTCAGAGAGCTGATGGCACGACTTGGTGCAGTCCTTAGAGCAGGTTTGTAGGAATTGTTGGGCATCGGAGGCCGCAGTTGGCATGAGAGTCAGCTGGCCCATGTACAGAAGAGTTGGAAGTTCAGAGCTCAGACTTGTGTGCCCATTCCTGTAAATCCCATAAATCATAATTTTAACTGGGGGAAGAAAAAAGTAGAACTGACTTCTAGGCATCAACATGGAGGATGTTTTGGGCCCAGGCCTTTGGGAAGTTCTGGTGGGTACGCCCCGCCCCATCTCCACGAAAGTCCGGTCCACACAGCGCCTTACTGACTCCGTGTGTGCAGTTGAGTCCGCAGGTAAGTAACTGCAGGTGTGTTGCTGAGCTGGGTATCCACCCCTGCTGAGCAGGCGGCAGATAGCACGGTGTGGTGTAGGAGGCTGTGGAAATCCACGTTTCGACCAGGGAGGAGGAGTGGTGAGAGGACATGGTGAAGTTCTAGAACACACATTTCCTAGGCAGAGCGCAGTGGGGCTCGGAGGGCTGCCCCTAGCAGAGTGGGTGCTGCTCCACAGGTGTGTGGGGGGACACCGTGTGCAGCCAGAAGGGAGCCTGCTCAGAGGGGTCAGAGCACAGCGATGGCAGGAGCCCAGAGCGGCTGCCAGCAGCGTAAGAAGCCGCTTTCCCAGTGACCGTGTGGCCTGAGCCCACACCTGGGGCAGCTTGCGGGTTGCCTGGTGTGGCGGCCCTGGGGCTTGGCGCTTGGCATCACTGCACCCTCCCCACCTTAGGTCCGGAGGAATTCCCCTGCCTGCTTTTGTCCATTTCTTGTTATGCTGCCACCAGAGCCCCTGGCACTGCCCTCTGCATCTCTTGGTGCCCATGGGGACTTCACGGGTACTCAGGTTTCTTGAGGAAGTCCCGGGCAGTCGTGGTGCTCAGACACAGGGCCGAGGAGAAGCCCTGGCCTCATGGGAGAAGAAGGGCGCAGGTCCGGTGCTGTCCTAGGTACCAGGGGAGAGGTAAGGAGTGCTCAGAAGGAGCGGGGGCCCAGGGAGGCCCCAGGTCACCGCAAGCAGGCCTCTCACCCTGCCGCCCGCCTCCCCTCAGGAGCTAACCCTGGCCCGCTGCAGAGGCGCTGAGTGCTCTGCCTGCCTGGTGGCCGCCTGTGTGCAGGAGCCCAGCAGGGCCGCCGGGCCTGCAGCTGCCAGAAGGTTAAGCAGCCGCTCCTGTTTCTGTTTAATAGAGCTCGTCGGCAATTAGCACAGCTTAGGGGGAAAGCGGCTGTGTGTGTCGCCCATTGACATGGGATTGAGGGGGAATCCCGGGAACAAAAGTAAGAATGTGCGAGGCCGGGGTCGCCAGAGCTCTGGTCCAGGGGCGGCCTGCTGGGCCGGGCAGCCTTGAGTGTGCTTACTCCAGAGTTTCCTTCGGGCTGCTCCGCAGAAGGAACTCTCAGGAAGCCTTCTCCCCTGACCTGCTGCGAGATCCACCCTGTTGTCTGGCCCACGGGGGTGGGGTGGGGTGGGGGGGGGACTCCCTGTGGCACCGTGTCAGCCTCTGCCTTAATGCAGTGCTCCATCACCGGGCCGGCGGAGAGGCTGTGGGAGACAGAGGAAGGGTGTGGACCCAGAGGGGAGAACAGGTTGCTGAGAGATTAGGGAGGTGCAGCGTGGAGATTAGCTGGGGAGGAACACAGGTGTCTGGAATCCATCCACGTGGGAGCCCTCGATGGGCGACAGTGAGCGTGGGGAGCAGGATTCTGGGCATGGTCAGGTGGGTGCCGGCTCTGCACCAGGCTGCCAAGCTGCGGGGGCCGAGGCTGTTGCACCTCTCTGTGGTTTCCAGATGGAGCCCAGGGTCTTGCTCAGCATGGCCCCTCCACCAGGCTGGCCGCCTGAAGGACCCTTTGGGTGTGTTTCATGGGCCCACCGGCGGCGTCATGCCCCGAGTGACAGTCGCTCTGATGAGGGTGGGACCTGGGCACAGAAACTGTGGCCTAAGGAGGTAGTGATGACGGTTGCTGGGGAGCAGGCGAGGCGTGCAGATAGACACAGAATGGAGGGCGAGTGTGAGAGAGAAGGACGTGCAGGCTGGACCTCCGTTGGGTTCTTAGGCAGTACGGAGACACAGCCTGCTCTTGAGAGGAATGCTCAGGTGTCCTTGGCAGGCAAGGCAGGGCGCCCGGAGGTCCGCAGGCGTCCAGGGCCACGCTCCCCTGAGCCGTGCTGTGCACACAGGGCACGATGCTGCTTGTTTGGGGTGTGCTGTGTCCGCGGCACTTCAGAATTACGCTGAGAATAGCTTCTCGTAAGTGTGTCTCGTAGGCTGACTCGTTCACCACTGGGGTCTGTGCATGGCCTGCGTGCTGATGTTTGTTTGAACAGAAGACTGTTCCCTGTCCTTCCAGAATAAATTTATTGTGCTGTGAAAGATGCCGCACCCTGGAGATTACACCCTGGTGGTTTCTTGCTGCCAGTCAGGGCGTGGGGATATAGATGCTCAGTAGTGGAAAACACAGCATGCATTTGGTTTGCTGGGAAAATTCAGACGTATGATTTATTCCTGATTCTCCTTTTTGACACAAGATGGAATCGTAGAATATTAGAAGTGGGAGGGAACTAAGAGCTGTCTCATCTGTTCTCCTGTTTTATCCACGGTCAGCTGAGGCACCGGGAGAGTCTCATTCCCGGTGCACATGGGGTAGGCCTTGCTGAAGGTCGGCGTGTTTGTGTGCAAGTGAGCTTGGACTCCATGCTGGGTCTTCACGCTCCACTGCTGCTGAGGACCAGTGTGGACTCCCGAGCTCCTCAGCCCTGGTCCCCGTGGATGTGATGTCCGTGCCTCATTTCCTGTACCAGGCCTCATGTCCTGGAGCACGGTCCTCCTGTTGGTGCGGTCTGCCCCAAGCTGGAGCCTGCAGTGCCCAGGTCCTCAGTCCCTGTGCGGGCTTGTCACGGGGCCCAGAGGCACGTGGCATGTTATTTC